GGAGACCAGCAAGACCACTACTAGCAGTAAACATTGTCTTTAATAGCCTGATATTTATAACATTGTATTTTTGCCATAAAAATATAATTTTAATAAGACTAACACTGTAAGGTGGAAATCTGATTAAATATCTGTTTTTTTATTTTTTGTGATTACTGAAACTAATACAAATTAGCATTTAAAAAATGCATGAACGAATAAATATTATTGTATTTCATATTTTTGTTTTAATTTATAAAACATTTTTGTAACAATGTGAACATAACAATAAAAACCTTGGTGTAAATTTCGTTCATTTCTTGCGACACTCAAACATGTAAACTTTATCATTTGTGGCTCTTACAGTGAGCAAGTTTGGCCGCCTCTTGAGTCATAGTCCCTCATAACCAACGTGTATTTCTACAGCCTACACACACATGCGTTACGGCGCCCTACTCCTGACGCATTGATAACGCATTACTTGTACTTGGGGTGCGTCTACCCGACGCGCACCACAACACCTTAGCAAAGTGCTTTCAGAAGGTGGGACCCCCGCTGCTGCAGTTACCAATCGCCATAACGACATTCCGGAATAATTACACAATAATTTAATTATTTGTATCAGCCGTTTTAAGAGAACGAAATCCTTGAAATCGCCATTTTTTACTACATAATATTTAAGGGCAACAATATTTTGTTGATGAGAGATATTGATAAATGTCTGGCCCATGTTTACACTCTGGTCAGTGGCGGAGACGCCGTGGGCATGGTGGGGCGTGTTTACACTTGGTGCTGGCGAGTGTCTTTCTCCAGACAAGTGTGTGTACCATAGGCCAAGTGTATGTACCAAAGGTCAAGCGTATGCACCTTCGGACAAGTGTGTGTACCATAGGGCAAGCGTATGCACCTTCGGACAAGTGTGTGTACCATAGGCCAAGTGTATGCACCTTCGGACAAGTGTGTGTACCATAGGCCAAGTGTATGCACCTTCGGACAAGTGTGTGTACCATAGGCCAAGTGTGTGCACCTTCGGACAAGTGTGTGTACCATAGGCCAAGTGTGTGTACCATAGGCCAAGTGTATGCACCTTCGGACAAGTGTGTGTACCATAGGCCAAGTGTATGCACCTTCGGACAAGAGTGTGTACCATAGGCCAAGCGTATGCACCTTCGGACAAGTGTGTGTACCATAGGCCAAGTGTGTGTACATTTGACCAATCGTATGTTCCCTCCGGCAAGTGCGTGTGCCATTGGACAAGTGTTGTTGTTGTTCAGGGACGACAGTGAGCCGTGGAGCGGATGTTCTCCGTGGACAAATATCAGTACCTTTTACAAGTGTGGTGGTGACCATTACAAGTGTGGTGGTGAGCATTACAAGTGTGGTGGTGAGCATTACAAGTGTGGTGGTGACCATTACAAGTGTGGTGGTGAGCATTACAAGTGTGGTGGTGAGCATTACAAGTGTGGTGGTGACCATTACAAGTGTGGTGGTGATCATTACAAGTGTGGTGGTGACCATTACAAGTGTGGTGGTGAGCATTACAAGTGTGGTGGTGATCATTACAAGTGTGGTGGTGACCATTACAAGTGTGGTGGTGATCATTACAAGTGTGGTGGTGACCATTACAAGTGTGGTGGTGAGCATTACAAGTGTGGTGGTGAGCATTACAAGTGTGGTGGTGATCATTACAAGTGTGGTGGTGAGCATTACAAGTGTGGTGGTGACCATTACAAGTGTGGTGGTGACCATTACAAGTGTGGTGGTGACCATTACAAGTGTGGTGGTGACCATTACAAGTGTGGTGGTGACCATTACAAGTGTGGTGGTGACCATTACAAGTGTGGTGGTGACCATTACAAGTGTGGTGGTGACCATTACAAGTGTGGTGGTGACCATTACAAGTGTGGTGGTGACCATTACAAGTGTGGTGGTGACCATTACAAGTGTGGTGGTGACCATTACAAGTGTGGTGGTGACCATTACAAGTGTGGGACCATTACAAGTGGTGACCATTACAAGTGTGGTGGTGACCATTACAAGTGTGGTGGTGACAAGTGTGGTGGTGACCATTACAAGTGTGGTGGTGAGTGTGGTGGTGACCATTACAAGTGTGGTGGTGACCATTACAAGTGTGGTGGTGACCATTACAAGTGTGGTGGTGACCATTACAAGTGTGGTGGTGACCATTACAAGTGTGGTGGTGACCATTACAAGTGTGGTGGTGGTGACCATTACAAGTGTGGTGGTGGTGACCATTACAAGTGTGGTGGTGGTGACCATTACAAGTGTGGTGGTGGTGACCATTACAAGTGTGGTGGTGGTGACCATTACAAGTGTGGTGGTGACCATTACAAGTGTGGTGGTGACCATTACAAGTGTGGTGGTGGTGACCATTACAAGTGTGGTGGTGACCATTACAAGTGTGGTGGTGACCATTACAAGTGTGGTGGTGACCATTACAAGTGTGGTGGTGACCATTACAAGTGTGGTGGCGACCATTACAAGTGTGGTGGTGACCATTACAAGTGTGGTGGTGACCATTACAAGTGTGGTGGTGACCATTACAAGTGTGGTGGTGGTGACCATTACAAGTGTGGTGGTGACCATTACAAGTGTGGTGGTGACCATTACAAGTGTGGTGGTGAGCATTACAGGTGTGGTGGTGACCATTACAAGTGTGGTGGCGACCATTACAAGTATGGTGGGTGACCATTACAAGTGTGGTGGTGGTGACCGTTACAAGTATGGTGGCGACCGTTACAAGTGTAGTGGTGACCATTACAAGTGTGGTGGTGACCATTACAAGTGTGGTGGCGACCATTACAAGTGTGGTGGCGAGCATTACAAGTGTGGTGGCGACCGTTACAAGTGTGTTGGCGACCATTACAAGTATGGTGGGTGACCATTACAAGTGTGGTGGTGGTGACCGTTACAAGTGTGGTGGTGACCATTACAAGTGTGGTGGTGGTGACCATTACAAGTGTGGTGGCGACCATTACAAGTGTGGTGGTGACCATTACAAGTGTGGTGGTGACCATTACAAGTGTGGTGGTGACTATTACAAGTGTGGTGGCGACCGTTACAAGTGTGGTGGTGACCATTACAAGTATGGTGGTAACCATTACAAGTGTGGTGGTGACCATTACAAGTGTGGTGGCGAGCATTACAAGTGTGGTGGTGACCATTACAAGTGTGTTGGTGACCATTACAAGTATGGTGGGTGACCATTACAAGTGTGGTGGTGGTGACCGTTACAAGTGTGGTGGTGACCATTAGAAGTGTGGTGGCGAGCATTACAAGTGTGGTGGCGACCGTTACAAGTGTGTTGGCGACCATTACAAGTATGGTTGGTGACCATTACAAGTGTGGTGGTGGTGACCGTTACAAGTGTGGTGGTGACCATTACAAGTGTGGTGGCGAGCATTACAAGTGTGGTGGCGACCGTTACAAGTATGGTGGGTGACCATTACAAGTGTGGTGGTGACAATTACAAGTGTGGTGGTGACCATTACAAGTGTGGTGGTGACCATTACAAGTGTGGTGGCGACCGTTACAAGTGTGGTGGTGACCGTTACAAGTGTGGTGGTGACCGTTACAAGTGTGGTGGTGACCATTACAAGTGTGGTGGTGACCATTACAAGTGTGGTGGTGACCATTACAAGTGTGGTGGTGACCATTACAAGTGTGGTGGTGACCATTACAAGTGTGGTGGCGACCGTTACAAGTGTGGTGGTGACCATTACAAGTGTGGTGGTGACCATTACAAGTGTGGTGGTGACCGTTACAAGTGTGGTGGTGACCATTACAAGTGTGGTGGTGACCATTACAAGTGTGGTGGTGACCATTACAAGTGTGGTGGTGACCATTACAAGTGTGGTGGTGACCATTACAAGTGTGGTGGTGACCATTACAAGTGTGGTGGCGACCATTACAAGTGTGGTGGCGACCATTACAAGTGTGGTGGTGACCATTACAAGTGTGGTGGTGACCATTACAAGTGTGGTGGTGACCATTACAAGTGTGGTGGTGGTGACCATTACAAGTGTGGTGGTGGTGACCATTACAAGTGTGGTGGTGACCGTTACAAGTGTGGTGGTGACCATTACAAGTGTGGTGGCGAGCATTACAAGTGTGGTGGCGACCGTTACAAGTATGGTGGGTGACCATTACAAGTGTGGTGGTGACAATTACAAGTGTGGTGGTGACCATTACAAGTGTGGTGGTGACCATTACAAGTGTGGTGGCGACCGTTACAAGTGTGGTGGTGACCGTTACAAGTGTGGTGGTGACCGTTACAAGTGTGGTGGTGACCATTACAAGTGTGGTGGTGACCATTACAAGTGTGGTGGTGACCATTACAAGTGTGGTGGTGACCATTACAAGTGTGGTGGTGACCATTACAAGTGTGGTGGTGACCGTTACAAGTGTGGTGGTGACCGTTACAAGTGTGGTGGTGACCGTTACAAGTGTGGTGGTGACCGTTACAAGTGTGGTGGTGACCGTTACAAGTGTGGTGGTGACCATTACAAGTGTGGTGGTGACCATTACAAGTGTGGTGGTGACCATTACAAGTGTGGTGGTGACCATTACAAGTGTGGTGGTGACCATTACAAGTGTGGTGATGACCATTACAAGTGTGGTGGGTGACCATTACAAGTGTGGTGGTGGTGACCGTTATAAGTGTGGTGGTGACCATTACAAGTGTGGTGGCGAGCATTACAAGTGTGGTGGCGACCGTTACAAGTGTGTTGGCGACCATTACAAGTATGGTGGGTGACCATTACAAGTGTGGTGGTGTAGACCGTTACAAGTGTGGTGGTGACCATTACAAGTGTGGTGGTGACCATTACAAGTATGGTGGGTGACCATTACAAGTGTGGTGGTGACCATTACAAGTATGGTGGGTGACCATTACAAGTGTGGTGGTGACCATTACAAGTGTGGTGGCGACCATTACAAGTGTCGATCCACGTAAAGTTAGCCACAAGTGGAGGTGGCGGAGCAGCCCTGGAGGACAGGGTATGCTCACCCAAGCGGTGGCCGACCCCAGCCATCCTCAGGCTATGCTCGCCCAAGCGGCGGCCGACCCCAACCATCCTCAGGCTATGCTCGCCCAAGCGGCGGCCGACCCCAATCATCCTCAGGCTATGCTCGCCCAAGCGGCGGCCGACCCCAACCATCCTCAGGCTATGCTCGCCCAAGCGGCGGCCGACCCCAACCATCCTCAGGCTATGCTCGCCCAAGCGGTGGCCGACCCCAACCATCCTCAGGCTATGCTCGCCCAAGCGGCGGCCGACCCCAACCATCCTCAGGCTATGCTCGCCCAAGCGGTGGCCGACCCCAACCATCCTCAGGCTATGCTCACCCAAGCGGTGGCCGACCCCAACCATCCTCAGGCTATGCTCGCCCAAGCGGTGGCCGACCCCAACCATCCTCAGGCTATGCTCGCCCAAGCGGCGGCCGACCCCAACCATCCTCAGGCTATGCTCGCCCAAGCGGCAGCCGACCCCAACCGCCACATCATCAACATTAAGATTCTGGGTATTAAAAACCAGGTTTTCTCGTATATATTAATATTACTATATATTGGATTGTTCTGTAAAACTTGGCTCAGGTTAGTTGCTTATGTTCTGTTCCCAAGTGATTGTGAAAGTGTGTGAAGCAAGTATGAAGTTACGTGAACACTTTCCATTCATAAACAGGTGGTTTTCGGGCTGGATTAATGAGCATTTGGTCTTTGTTGATGAGGACGGGCTGCGCACCTCTACACTGCTTCACGCCAGCCCGTCCTCACCAACACAAAGTGCTCGTTAATCCAGCCCCCAAACAACGTTTATTAATGAAAAACGCTGTCCACACGACTCTCAGATGATGACGTATGTACTTTTCTCGACCAGTGTTTCAATGACCACAGCAACAACCTCATCTATCCTTCATTTGCTCTGTCACATCGTTCAGAATATTTACCCCATCATCTTCTCCTTGATAATCCCTGGTGTTTATTCCCCGCAGGTAAGGTAAGAAGCGGACGCCACCGAGGACGTGTTCAACCAGTCACAGAGGTGGTGAGTGTTACCTGTTCTCTTTATGTTCTGGCAACACTATCCCGTCGTGCAAAGATGGTCGTGTAACGTTTAAGTTGTGTGGTCTTGAGAGGGAGTTCTCACATGGTGCCTCTCGGACTGTTCATAATTTAAGAGGCTGCTCATTCTTGGAACAATATTACAGTGACAAAGTTTACAATGTGCCGAGTCTGAGCCATCAACAGCCTTTTTCATCCAATGAAAAGTCTCATCCCATTTACTATTGTACTTAAGGCTGCTACTTTATGATGGTTTCCATTTTTTTATGATATGGTTATGGGTAAATGTTTTTTAAGTTCACACATTCAAATCATAGAGCAAAGTACACACTGAACAGTCACAAGTCAAAATCTGAGTAATAATGGCAAGATTGCCAGTGAGTGACAGTGACGTGGCATCACTGTGTGCAGCCCGTCCACAGTGACGTGGCATCACTGTGTGCAGCCCGTCCACAGTGACGTGGCATCACTGTGTGCAGCCCGTCCACAGTGACGTGGCATCACTGTGTGCAGCCCGTCCACAGTGACGTGGCATCACTGTGTACAGCCCGTCCACAGTGACGTGGCATCACTGTGTGCAGCCCGTCCACAGTGACGTGGCATCACTGTGTGCAGCCCGTCCACAGTGACGTGGCATCACTGTGTGCAGCCCGTCCACAGTGACGTGGCATCACTGTGTGCAGCCCGTCCACAGTGACGTGGCATCACTGTGTGCAGCCCGTCCACAGTGACGTGGCATCACTGTGTGCAGCCCGTCCACAGTGACGTGGCATCACTGTGTGCAGCCCGTCCACAGTGACGTGGCATCACTGTGTGCAGCCCGTCCACAGTGACGTGGCATCACTGTGTGCAGCCCGTCCACAGTGACGTGGCATCACTGTGTGCAGCCCGTCCACAGTGACGTGGCATCACTGTGTGCAGCCCGTCCACAGTGACGCCACTGACCAGCCACCCGCCCTCACGGTGAAGTCATGCTGATGACTAATGATAAATAACCAGGTGTTTAACTGCACTGGTTAAACACCTGGATATTTATTTAGATATTAGTGATGATTTGAAAGCATATTACGGTTCCAATAATAGTCTACTTGCAAGTTGGCAATTTAACCTTTGTCCGAAACCGAATATTCTCAGGTTATAACTTTATTATATAATAAATCGTTGGTTTAAAAGTGTCTTTGCCTACTTTTTTTTAACGAACAGAAGAATTTGGTTTTCTGTTAGTAAAATTCTAGGGGAATACTCAAATAGTTTTCAAATTTCATATTTGACACGTTTGAGAATAAGACACATTATTAATAACGTAGTTAAATCTAACAAACCTTAACACTTAACCTAATCTAATTATGAATAGGGAATAAATAATAATACTAATGGTTTCGAAGTGATTACCTCCAGGGCACCACCTCTCTGGGGACAGGTGGCTGTGTCAGTTGTGTATCAGTAGGTGGGACGTGAACCTGAATTAAACAGGTACATTTGGATGTGTAACTTGAAAGGATTTGTTTGTGAATATGCTATATGACTTTAGCCAAATATATTTTATGGTTTAAGCTAAAAAACAAATTGATAGTCTAAAGCCATCCAAGTGAAAACACAACAGACAAAAAAAAATCACGAATAGAGCTGAAAAAAAATTATGGCAACTTTGTTGATAAAATCATGAGTGCCGCTAAGGTGACCAGGACAGATTTGCCGTTTCGGATATAAAGTTTCCATATAGCAATTTGTCTTAACAGGGGCCTTACGCATGTTTGTGTGGGATGGTGTTACGTTCCGTCCATTGTTATGTTCTTACTCTGACGCAGTCTCTCGCTGCGTCAGTGCCAGACTGACACACTCTCACCGCGTCAGTGCCAGACTGACACAGTCTCTCACTGCGTCAGTGCCAGACTGACACAGTCTCTCACTGCGTCAGTGCCAGACTGACGCAGTCTCACACTGCGTCAGTGCCAGACTGACGCAGTCTCTCACTGCGTCAGTGCCAGACTGACGCAGTCTCACACTGCGCCAGAGCCAGACTGATGCAGTCTCTCACTGCGTCAGTGCCAGACTGACGCAGTCTCTCACTGCGTCAGTGCCAGACTGACACAGTCTCTCACCGCGTCAGTGCCAGACTGACACAGTCTCTCACTGCGTCAGTGCCAGACTGACACAGTCTCTCACTGCGTCAGTGCCAGACTGACACAGTCTCTCCCTGCGTCAGTGCCAGACTGACAATCTCTCGCTGCGTCAGTGCCAGACTGACACAGTCTCTCGCTGCGTCAGTGCCAGACTGACACATTCTCTCGCTGCGTCAGTGCCAGACTGACGCAGTCTCTCGCTGCGTCAGTGCCAGACTGACACATTCTCTCACTGCGTCAGTGCCAGACTGACGCAGTCCCACACTGCGTCAGTGCCAGACTGACGCAGTCTCTCACTGCGTCAGTGCCAGACTGACGCAGTCTCACACTGCGTCAGTGCCAGACTGACGCAGTCTCTCACTGCGTCAGTGCCAGACTGACGCAGTCTCACACTGCGTCAGTGCCAGACTGACGCAGTCTCTCACTGCGTCAGTGCCAGACTGACGCAGTCTCACACTGCGTCAGTGCCAGACTGACGCAGTCTCTCACTGCGTCAGTACCAGACTGACGCAGTCTCACACTGCGCCAGTGCCAGACTGATGCAGTCTCTCACTGCGTCAGTGCCAGACTGACGCAGTCTCTCACTGCGTCAGTGCCAGACTGACGCAGTCTCTCACTGCGTCAGTGCCAGACTGACGCAGTCTCTCACTGCGTCAGTGCCAGACTGACGCAGTCTCTCACTGCGTCAGTGCCAGACTGACGCAGTCTCTCACTGCGTCAGTGCCAGACTGACGCAGTCTCTCACTGCGTCAGTGCCAGACTGACGCAGTCTCTCACTGCGTCAGTGCCAGACTGACGCAGTCTCACACTGCGTCAGTGCCAGACTGACGCAGTCTCTCACTGCGTCAGTGCCAGACTGACGCAGTCTCTCACTGCGTCAGTGCCAGACTGACGCAGTCTCACTGCGTCAGTGCCAGACTGACGCAGTCTCTCACTGCGTCAGTGCCAGACTGACGCAGTCTCTCACTGCGTCAGTGCCAGACTGACGCAGTCTCTCACTGCGTCAGTGCCAGACTGACACAGTGAAAGGACAAACATAAGCAATATCTTTGTGGAAGTATTTCGTGTGTAAATATTACTATATGGAATGAATATTTAGGTTGTATATTGATGGATATTCAATGTTATGACTGTTATGTTGATTGGTCTCAAGTAACATTGTTGGGCACACTCAAGTAGGGCTGCCAGGCCGTCAGCAGGGGTCCAGCGGCTTCTTGGCCAAGTGCCGGTTATAAGGAGAATATTTAGGTGGTCAAGCAGAGACAGTATCATAGTGAGGGTCGCATGTTCTGTGAAGGGAAACGTGTGAACTTCGTGTGCGGGGGAATTGACCTGTGAGATTTATATTTATTTAATTTAAAATAATTTATATAGTACTGTAATTTATATTTGACATTAATTTGTATTTTTCGATAGCAAACTATTTAGTTTAAAGCGGACTGTATTTCTTATAATGTCTCACAAATTGCTTCCTTACTCATTCTGGGGGTTTATAGTTTAAATGTATTCAACAATGTAAATTATTCGTTAGTAGACATTCACTACAGTATTAAACTACATATATTATTAACTAATATGGGGAGACCTTATCGGTATTGTTGTTATATCTTAGATAACCAGTATGAACATGGATGAACACGCCAGTCTCTACACCTTGTGGATGAGGCTGGCCTCAACTTATGTGCTGGAGTACTAGGTAACCAGTTTTAATTCTTCTTCCTCTTCAGTTACAACTGCCAGAGGGCACACACAATAATAGCAGGAATCCTAATATGACAGGGGAATATATTGGTATATTAATTGAATAAGAGTCAAATAATATACTTTATTGGGTGGCTTGCTGTGTGTCCTGACCGGAATATATCCTAAATCTAAATATTAAAGGCCTCTAATAAGCTTGATGAAATAGGAATCTAAGGGACTTGCCTTAGTGTAGACAAAGTTGGTGTTGATAACGGGAGCACTATTACTCCCGTAACACTGGTTCAAGGGTATTATTTGTAGGTCTGTTCTGCTCCAGCAAGACTTGATGTTAAATTAAATGACGACTGACTGAGGCCTCCCTCCCACTGACCGCATCCCTTGTTCTACAGATGCGTTTTATCAAAGTGGATAGAGGGCCTACATTTATGCTATTTTGGTACTAATAATTAAGTTGATTCAAGGAAGATGTTTTTATATTTAGAGTCCAGAGATTGTTGTATTAAGAATAATTCCCAACAGAATTAGCTGGTGAATTTAATAGTGACGTGGCAATGATATCCCATTTTCTAGCTAGGAAAATTCCATTGTGCCACATCCTTTAAGTGATACAAACACTATTTCTAGGGTTAATTTGTTATTAGTAGATTAGCAGCAATATTATCTGCCTATTGTATTGAATATTAGTAAATGTTGTTGTGTTTTCCGACATAATTCCCGGGGGCTGCTCAAGGGTCGAAGTCCATTATATAGGACTGAAGAACACCGATATTCCTCCTCAGAATTATTAGATTAATTTGATGTTAGTAGTTAGTAGTGCCACATTTGTGCGCAAGTTCGTACAGGATGGATGTCCCGTACTCGAGTTGCAGGGGTTGGAAGTCTTATCTTGAGATGATTTCGGGGCTTTAGTATCCCCGCGGCCTGGTCCTCGACCAGGCCTCCACCCTCAGGAAACAGCCCGTGACAGCTGACTAACACCCAGGTACCTATTTTACTGCTAGGTAACAGGGGCATAGGGTGAAAGAAACTCTGCCCATTGTTTCTCGCCGGTGCCCGGGATCGAACCTGGCACCACAGGATCATAAGTCCAGTGTGCTGTCCGCTCGGCCGACCGGTCTTGGGCGATTTCATTTCCGTGCTAACTCTTGGGAGGCTAAAATTCTAGCCAAATTACATTTTATTTAATCCAGAGGACTGAATGTGATTAAGTACTACAGTAAAGTATGATTCCGGGACTGCAGTGAGAACAGTGACATTAGTTATATTAACTTGAAGCTTGTTTAGGTAACTGGTCACTGATATATAAACACTGAGGCCCATGGAATACCTTGATTAAACATTTTGATTAACTAATCAATGTATCAAAATCAATAGTCAGATTTATTTATATAGTCAGTCAAGCTCCCTTGTGCCTATTTGCTGGATTTGATTTGGCTGACAAATTGGGGTTAATTGGATTGATTCAGAGGAATTGAATAGTCAATCAATAAAGTCAAGTATCGTTCTGAGACTGCAGTGGGTTCAGTGACATTGGTCGCAGTGACTTCTAGCCGTTTAGGCTACTGTTCACTGATTTGCCACTGAAGCCTCATGAACTTGTTTTCAGCTTTAAATGATATTAAGATCAACCACTGTTGTTATAGTCAGCTGTAATCTCCTTAGTATAATGCTACTGGAGTTGTATAATCAGCTGACATATTTAGATTTCTACTGGTATTGTTTATCTGCAGGCATAGGTCTCCTCAGGCTTAATACTGGGCCTGAGAGTAATTTGCCTCCTGCAGAATGTAACATGTTTATGTCCTGATATTTAGTTGGGCTAGTTATAAATTGGTGGTAGTAGTCTGCACCTACAAGGATGTCGGTGAGGTGATCAGATTTATGTTATTTGCCAATTTTATTCCTTTGTTTCTCAGGAAATTGGCAGTAGCTCTCAGACCTTGCACCTGTAAGTCTATTGGAATTGTGTACCACAATGGCTTGTCTTTGACAGACGTAGCTGCCTTATCGTACTGATGGCTGTACTACTTGGTAGACTTGAGGTCCTGTATCTGATAGGAACCCTGAAATATTCAATGTCACCTGCTAAACAGACCTTAATTGCAGATCATCTGCCACCTTTATAGTGACACGTGTTTTCTGGGACCCTTGGTCAAACAACCCATGAGTATGGACCCTGGCCCCTCTTATTTTGAATGGTAACTTTGGCAGTAGGCAAAATCACATTACTTTTGGATTTTGCTGATTGGACACAGATTTTCTGTCGCATCTTGCAATATTGTATTCACCTAGTTGTGCTTGTGGGGGTTGAGCTCTTCTCTTTCGGCCCGCCTCTCAACTGTCAATCAACTATTACTACTATTTTTCCCCTTCTCACACCACACATCCCCTCCCCCCCCCCCCCCAGGAAGCAGGTGTGTGTGTGTGGTGATTTAAGCGCCGTGACAGCTGACAAACTCCCAGGTACCTATTTACTGCTAGGTAACAGGTGCATTAGGGTGAAAGAAACTCTGCCCATTGTTTCTCGCCACCGCCGGGAATCGAACCCGGGACCACACTATCACGCTTCCAGTCAGCCACCGGCCCCGTCTGTATTGTGTAGGTATTCCTACCACAATACCACTGTATTGTGGTAGAAATGTTATTTCCCCCCCCCCCCTTGGGTTTCTAATATATTAATTTCATATGTTTGCACAGTGCTGCATGGTGCTTACCTCTTCTACACCTGTTGCAGGTGTATAGTTGGGTCTCATAACGCTCGAAGCTGTGTGATTTGAGACACCTTGGGCATTTCCTTAATGCCAGGAGTCGCTCAATACAAGTGTGTGTGTCAGGATAATTGGTGCAACGGTATGTTGAACATGTTGCTTTTGCAGAGCAAACATGTCCCCCAGCCTACTGCACGCTTGGAAGTTACCGGTTTGGGTGAACTAGTAACAGTAGGCTTGGAGGATTCCGCTGCATAATTCCCTCACTGCCAGATATTCTTCCCCTTGGTTATGGAAGCAATTGGTTGATGTTTATTTGGGGTATTTGATTTACTCTTTTATTTACTATTCCTGAAGGCTCGCAAGAGGCTTTCACTTCTTCATTTGCACGTCGTTTGTCTATGACCGAACATAAACCTTCAGTGATTATCAGGATGGGTTTATTGTAATGTGTGTGTAATCCATCTAGTATTTCGCTGGACAATTTTCGTTGAATGACTACTTTGGTCATCTACTCTAAAGTGGTTATGTCAACCTTAAGACTGAATGTTCTTAGTTGTGACTCAAACTCCAAGCTAAAGGATTATGAGTCAGAAGTCTGATCAGGTTAAGGTAAGTCCAGTGATTGTAGTATTAGATGTATGACAGCTTTGTCGTTGTCAGCATTATCTCTAAGGAGCTGGACTGGGAGATTAGTGCTGTCAACATTTTGATTTACAGTTTCTACTACTGGTTCAGCGTCACCATTAATTTCAGTTTGGAGGCACGTTAATTCAGTAGCCTCAGATATTGGTGATTCAGAATCAAAGATTCAGATTTATCCACAGAGAATGTGGATAAATTGTCTAAGAATTGTTCAGTTTCTGGTTGTATAATATTGGGTTATGCTGAGCTGGATAATGAATTTGTATTTATTTGCTTTTGGCATTGTATAATTTTCCCCAGACGTTTTTGAAACTCCTCCAATTGTGCCATTTGCGCGAGTAAGGTGTTTGTTTGTTCTGGTGCATATTTTGTTGGTAGAGGCTTTGAGCATAAGGGCTTCAGAGGCAGCGAATAATTATTTGTTTTTGATTATCGACTTCTATGTGGATTTCAAGCACTTTAGGTGTCACGTTTGACTGAATTAAGTTCTTACACTTGTTCAGTCACGTGTTTTTAGTAACGTAGGTATGATCAGTGGTACAATATACTATTACTAGACATTTCCTCTGTTATACAGACGAAATGAATTCTGTTTTGACTCCATAATTTTGTGGAGGAAATAACTGGGGTTTTATAGCTCATAAATTGAGCACGTACTGATAATACTGGCCTATGGTAAATTTTGGCAGTCACCAGGCTATAATCCAACCTCTATAGAGGTTAGAATTTGATATACATTAAATATAATCATTCATACAAATGATTTGAGTGATAATCCAGTGCCACTGGAAGTACCTTCAAGTTAGCTCCTCATTTATCACCCTTGGTTAGTGTAGACATTAATCACTCAAAACGTGCAATGATTATAGGTAAACAATTATAAAATAAGTAAATTATAGATTCACAACTTAACTCGAGCTGGTATAAATTCTACCCGAAATAGGGTCTGCACCATTAATTAATGGTGTTAGGTTGTTCAATGTAGTACAACTAGACTATGGTAATAAATGGAACTAGGAAGTACAATAATTAGTTCAACAATAGTAAATGTTAATATGGGACTAGGTTATCAATAAACACTAGTCAATGTAAATATCCAACTCAGTAATGGGTTGGCAATTAGTAAATATTGTATTGAGTAGTGAAGACTAGTGCAATATATATATGTAGGTTAAATAATTCTCTACTTATGAGAAATTATATAAACAATTGGTGTTGTTAGCCTCTCAAAAACTAGTAGTATAATCTAGAAGTATAAAGTCTGTTATTGTTATTAGTGACCTATCGCATAATTAAACACCACAGAATTCGTAGATAACTCGGCGAGGTCGCAGCTGGTAATTTGACTGGTTTTAATTTAAGCGCCATCTCATCAAGGATATAAACTCCAAATTTTTTTGTACGTTCCGTGAACCGCTGAGGGGGGGGGGGGGGGGGGGTTAGGGCTCACTAAAGGCTACGCGGCCGGTCTGTGACTGACAATATATATAATGTTCACCAATTTATTACACTAGTTTATTTAATTTGATGGACCAACAATGATCTAGAATTGTGGGGAAATTCTACGAACCCCGAGTGCTGTCCATTGAGCCGTCAGGCCTTACATTTGTTTCTAACTAATATTACACTAAACATCTTCCTGTCTCAGAACTGGTAACACAATAAACAAATTATTGTTAATAATCATATATTCAATAATAATCAGTGAAAGGGTGAAAAAATGTACAAAATAAGCCACTTGTCTCGAAATATAACGGACCGTTTCTGTAAGTGGAGGGGGGGGGGGGAAGCCATTGTAAACAAAGGCCCCTGCCAGTGTTGGTGAACCTTGAGCCCACAAGAGGGTGAACCTTGAACACACAAAAGGGTGAACCTTGAGCCCACAGGAGGTGTGAACGTTGAGCCCACGGGAGGTGTGAACGTTGAGCCCACGGGAGGGCGTGAACGTTGAGCCCACGAGAGGGCGTGAACGTTGAGCCCACGGGAGGGCGTGAACGTTGAGCCCACGGGAGGGCGTGAACGTTGAGCCCACGGGAGGGCGTGAACGTTGAGCCCACGGGAGGGCGTGAACGTTGAGCCCACGGGAGGGCGTGAACGTTGAGCCCACGGGAGGGGTGAACGTTGAGCCCACGGGAGGGGTGAACGTTGAGCCCACAGGAGGGGTGAACGTTGAGCCCACAGGAGGGGTGAACGTTGAGCCCACGGGAGGGGGTGAACGTTGAGCCCACGGGAGGGGGTGAACGTTGAGCCCACGGGAGGGGGTGAACGTTGAGCCCACGGGAGGGGGGGGTGAACGTTGAGCCCACGGGAGGGGGTGAACGTTGAGCCCACGGGAGGGGGGGGTGAACGTTGAGCCCACGGGAGGGGGTGAACGTTGAGCCCACGGGAGGGGGGCGTGAACGTTGAGCCCACGGGAGGGGGGTGAACGTTGAGCCCACGGGAGGGGGGCGTGAACGTTGAGCCCACGGGAGGGGGGCGTGAACGTTGAGCCCACGGGAGGGGGGCGTGAACGTTGAGCCCACGGGAGGGGGTGAACGTTGAGCCCACGGGAGGGGGTGAACGTTGAGCCCACGGGAGGGGGGTGAACGTTGAGCCCACGGGAGGGCGTGAACGTTGAGCCCACGGGAGGGCGTGAACGTTGAGCCCACGGGAGGGGGGGTGAACGTTGAGCCCACGGGAGGGGGGGTGAACGTTGAGCCCACGGAAGGGGGGGGGGTGAACGTCGAGCCCACGGGAGGGGGGGGTGAACGTTGAGCCCACGGAAGGGGGGGTGAACGTCGAGCCCACGGGAGGGGGGGGGGGGTGAACGTCGAGCCCACGGAACGTCGAGGGGGGGGGGGGGGGTGAACGTCGAGCCCACGGGAGGGGGGGTGAACGTTGAGCCCACGGGAGGGGGGGGGGTGAACGTTGAGCCCACGGGAGGGGGGGGGTGAACGTTGAGCCCACGGGAGGGGGGTGAGCGTTGAGCCCACGGGAGGGGGGTGTGAACGTTGAGCCCACGGGAGGGGGGTGCAAACGTATAGCCCACGGGAGGGGGGTGAACGTTGAGCCCAAGGAATATAGCCCACGGGAGGGGGGGTGAACTTGCAAGACTCACGGGAGTGTTACACATGTTACACATGTTACACACACACACACACAGCCACACACACACACACACACACACACACACACACACACACACACACACGTAAGGCCAGTCTTAGAGTATGCCGCCTCATCATGGAGTCCCCATCTGAAGAAACATATAATGAAACTGGAAAAGGTTCAGAGGTTTGCAACGAGACTCGTCCCAGAGCTACGAGGGATGGGGTATGAAGAGCGCCTGAGGAAATTGTGCCTTACGACACTAGAAAGAAGAAGGGAGAGGGGGGACATGATAGGAACGTATAAGATACTCAGAGGAATTGACAGAGTGGACATAGACGAAATGTTCACACGGAATAGTAACAGAACGAGAGGACATGGATGGAAGCTTGAAACTCAGATGAGTCACAGAGATGTTAGGAAGTTTTCTTTTAGCGTGAGAGTAGTGGGGAAATGGAATGCACTTCAGGAACAGGTTGTGGAAGCAAATACTATTCATAATTTTAAAACCAGGTATGATAGGGAAATAGGACAGGAGTCATTGCTGTAAACAACCGATGCTCGAAAGGCGGGATCCAAGAGTCAATGCTCGATCCTGCAGACACAACTAGGTGAGTACAACTAGGTGAGTACACACACACACACTCATATATGTTACACTCGCGCATGACAACACGCAGGTTGGCAAGTTTCCCCTCGTCCTGGGGGAGGCCACCACCAGAGGTACTGCCAGTCTAGGCGTTCCTCTGTGGGGTAATAGTTTTCTACAGTGCTTTGGTGAGAGCCAAGTTCATGGTCTGGGCTGTACATACCGAGGGAGGTAAATACACCCGGCTGTGTAGTTGAGGTTGGAAGATGCAGTTGGTGGAGTTGCTCAGAGGACTCGTCTAAGTGCTCCAAAAACCTTCCACCCGTGTTGTGTGTGGTTTCGTTGTTTATTCTGTGACCAACGGAGAGGAGCGAGTTTATGGCTAGCACACACACATACACACACACACACACACACACACACACACACACACACACACACACACACACACACACACACACACACACACGCACGCATGCGTGCACACAATGGAATGGTTAGGACAGAGAGCCAATGAATGAAATACTAAAAAGTTAAAGATGGAAGGGGCTGACCGACGCATTGAGAAGATTTTCAGGTTAGGCTGGTACAACAAGGATAGAGACCACCTGATAAAGATTGTGTTTGCAAATGAGACCATGAAGGAGAATATTCAAGCAAGGAAGAGCCAACTGCAACCTGTGAGAGAATACAAAAAACGTATTCCTCCAGAGGCACATAATGAGGGAGGAGAGAGCCATGGCAACAGAGGCAAGGAAGAAGTGCAGAGAAAGAAGAGAAAACCCATGAAATCACAGCCCCCAACACAACATTCCCAGAGGAGAGGGGGAAGCCAACAACTAGCGTCCCAGCAACACCAGAGGGGAGGGCAACACCACCACCCTCCTCTGCATAGAAGCTCTCCCTACCCCAAACCCTCCCTGACCTCACTCCTGTGCTCAGGCAACCCTCCCTACCCCTCACCCCATACACACCCCGTTACCCCCTCCCCCATTCCCACTATGTCCCCCCCTCCCCTATTCCCACCATGCCCCCCCCCTCCACCTTCCCATTTCCCTCCCTGTCCTTCCCCCCCTCTTCCCTCATCCCATACCTTCCCTCTCCCCCCCCTCCACACCCCATATTCTCTGTCCCTCTCCCTCCTTAGCCCATATCCTCCCTGTCCCCCTTTCCCATGACCCCTCATCCCTTCCCCCAGTATCACTGAGACCCTGTTAACCACCACATAAATCTTCGCATGTATGGAACAGCCTTATCCATCAGCAGAACACCCACTAAAAAGAGGACATGAGAGTGAAAAGAAGTGAGCTTCTAGGCAATGTACACTAACATAGATGGGATTACAAATAAAACAAGTGAACTTTGAGAATGGGCACTAGAAGAAAACCTAGACACAATAGCACTTACAGAAACAAAGCTAACAAAAAACCATAACACATGCAGTGTTTTTGCAGGACTACTATATAGTGAGGAAAGAGAGAGAAGGAAGAAAAGGTGTTGTAGCTCTGTTGATAAGAACAGGATGGAGTATTGACAAGAAGGTTATTCAGGGCTGTGAAGGTTTCAATGACTACATAATAAGTACCATAGAAATTGGAGGACAAAAACTTGTAGTAGTAGTCATATATAACTCCCGTCCAAATTATAGAAAACCCAGACAGGAATGTAACAATTTTCCACCATTAATATTCTTGAGAGAGCAGTTTGTCACTAGCAGGAACAGATCCAGACTACTTAAAGACTTAGAGACTTAAACCCTAGCAAGATAGGTTTGGAGAACAGAGACCCACACGGAGGACCAGATACACGGAGAGCTAATCTGCTGGACGTGGCAACAAGAAACTTTCTAAGCCCACATATCAAGGGAACGACAAGAATGAGAGGGGATGATGAACCAGCCATGCTTGATCTGATATTTACCCTAAATGAG